GAGTTCGACCTTTGTCTATCTTGAGCAGATGCTCAAGGTACGTAGTCAAAAAAATACAGGCCAAAATAATGAAAAAGTCTTATCTGAAAACGAAAGCACAATTTCTATCTAGCTTTAAATTAATTATTGTTTCTTTCTTTTTTTCTTTTTTTTTGTGTTAAAAAAAATCACAATTTAAAGATACTCGAAGCATCTCAAGTATTGAGATTTAAAATTTGATGTCATCTTTTAAAAAATAATTATACGAATAAATTAAGTTAGCTCTTGAATTCAATTAGTACTTCTTTCTATATAAACAAAGCAACACCAAAAAATGCTCCAACCAAAAGAAAATTTCTTACTTGCAAGTTTTCACCAAATTTATGATCTTCAAATTTTGTTTTATTCTTTAATTAGCACAATCGATCATTGAAAATTTTTTTTGTCAAACTCCCTGGAATTTGGTACCTGTTGGCAGAAGTATGAATAGAATTTACAGATAACAACTCACTGTTTCATCTTTCACAGAGAAACCAAAATTATTCATCCTTTTGGGATTATGTATGTTTGAATCTAAATGTTGGATACAAACTCTCCATTAACTAATTTGTTCAAATCATAATGACACACGACTAGCTTAGCACTAAAGTTATATTTCCTTCTTTAACAATAGAGAACCATTTATTCCACCAACAAAGGATTGTTTAAAATATGATTTGGATGAAATTGAAAAGGGAAAAAAAAAACAATTTTGAAGAGTTCTAAATGCAAAATTTTGTATCCTGTTTTAAAATTTTAAATTCTTATGACATATAAAAGAGCAAAAAAATGAGTAGGTTTGACAAAAAATAAACACTAATCAATAGATTTTCCAAAATTTTCAGTTCACATTCAAATTAAAAATCATGATAATTCTTTTGGTAATAGCTTTCCTTGGCCATTTAACTAAAAGTTGTTCTCCCTCAATAATTTTTTTGGTAGAACTCTCTCTAATAATTGAGTTTCTTGTTTCAATTGTCTCTCGACTCTTAATAATTGAGTCAGGTAAGGGAAATTAAACAAGTTTCTTGTTGAATTTCACATGTGAATATGATATCTCACATCATTAAAAAGTGACCTTAAAAATAAACATGAAAGATTCAAAAACTCATAAATTTAGATTTTAAGGTTCAAGTAGTGTCCAACATATATTTATGAACCCTTTTGATGTGTTTCTCAATCTTTCACTTATTGAGAGTATATTATTTGTAATTATTGCATTACATTAAATTAATTGCAATTCATAATTACGTAAGAGTCACCAAAATATTATACATAAAACCCATATTTATAAATAATAAAATCTTATATATTTCTTTAATATGATTGGATAATTGCATAATTATAATAAAAAAATTACAGGAAAAATACTCCCCTACTTATCTCTCTAACCCTATCTATTAATCTATTATATATTATGTTCCACAAAAAAAATAGATGTATGAGAAGTTTAACAAAGTTTATATTTACATTTTACACACATATTACAAATATGTGTGTTTGTATAATTGTTGCATTACTAGTTCTTACTAACTAGTAATTGAAACTCCTACTACTAAATTATGGGAGTATTTTACAATTCAAAATTATGTGAAGTCTATCAAAATTTTATGTAGATTCCAAACTTATAAGTAGTGGATTCCTACATAATTCTTTATTATAATTGAATAATTATAGAATTATAACAACAAAACATTGTATGCTTATGTTTATTTAGGTTTTACATCATCTCCTGCTTCCTTAAATTCTTTGATTCTGTCTTCGACCATCTATCCAATGGAGTGAGGCAGTAAACATGAGTTACTTGAACTTAAAGAAACCGCACCCTACAAATCCAACTCGTGTTAAACACCATTTTCATTTAGTCATCTTTGACGGAGTAGGTAATATTCCACAATTTTAGGCCACCTCTTACGGGTCAAAGGGAGGAAAACTAATACATAAGCCAAACTTGAAAACACCGAATGAATGTCCTCAACTCCTTCGTCTAATAACTAGGGAACTCTTAGGAGAAGATAAAAATCTTAATTTTTCATAGACTACACCCATCCTATGTATAAAAAAAAAAACACTTAATGAATGTTCCAATTCAAGCGACTGAAGAAAATTTTTTTGGGAAAATTCATCGAAAGTTTCCTTTTCCATTATCTTTAATTTACATTTTAGGAATAATTGTGTGTGAATGCAAGCTCATATATGGAATCAAATATGGAAAATGAAATTTCAGATAAATGTTTCTTCAATTGTCCTATTGTTTGATAATTTGGTATTTATAGTAAGAGTTGATAGTTAATACATTATTAATATATAAATTTTATATACCGTCAGTAAATCAGGTGATAACAATTCATTAATGAGGTGAATCAGATGATAACACCTCATTAATAAGTAAGTTTTTTAAAAAATTTTAATTTGTGTATATTTATTTTAAAAGTTGATATTTGCTCATTAATGAAATATTATTATTTAGTTTACAATATATAAATTTTATACATTGATAATATATTAAATATAAACTCTTATAATAATATAATATAGCCGTGTTTGGATTGAATGAGAAGAGAAAAAATGTTGGACTTTTGGGATAATTACATCCATGAGAGTCTGAATTGATAAAGTCTTCCAAAAGTTAAAGATTTAGTATTTTATCATGGTGGTCTAGTATTTCTATTTGATTAAAGGATATTATAAAAGACTTGAAGATATCGCCAAACTACTACATCTGCTACTCAGAAAATTACCTGAAAAAAAAAAAACGTTGCCTCCCACCATGGATGAGATTGAAAGGTTTGTAAAACGTCCATATAATAGAAATCCTCAAGTTATTTTGCATTAGTCTTGAAAATATAAAAAATTGATGTAAATTTATTTATTTATTTATTTTTGGTAATACAATCAGGAGTATCATCATGTTTTATTTAGACCTAATCTCTTCTCCAAATAATTTTAAGGGTGCAATCCTTCACATCGGCTTGATGCATTTAAAATTTTATTCTCGAAATGTTTCTTGTAAAGATAAATTAATCCATAATCGATGCAAATTACATCAGAACAAGATTAACTCACAAATTTTTATTAAATTATAATTTTTATCTTATGAGAAACAAATAGAAAGCAAGGGAAATAGAGCATTCATGGATTCCCTTGTTTGGATATTACAAAAATAAATTTGCCCTCACAATTAAAATTGCACTGTTAATGCGGTAAAGAAATACTCTAATGAAACAACTTTATGCTACTCAGCAAAATCAATTGACTGCTTCTTCTTTTCCTTTTTTTTTTTTATTTTTTTAAATCTAACTTGGATGCCACACCCAATTGCTTGGGACAAACTTACTAGCTTGGGACAAAAATGGCATGGTTAAGTACATTTCACAAATGCACCTAGCTTTCTTTTGGTGAATAATATTTCAACAAAAGGCCGTAAACCATTTTTTGGCACATGGAATCACCGATGCCATTATCCCACTAAAAGTATTTAATCTTCAATAATTCTTTCGATGAGAATCCCAATAATTTCCCCCACTAAAATTCACTAAATCCCCCAATAATTTTTCGATGAGAGACCCACAATATTAAACCAAATACACACTAAAAAGATTGAAAGTAGATTATGGGTCTTTTTGGACGGTGTAGATATGAGTGAATTAGATGAGGCAAATAGCCTGAACATCGAAAATGTCCAATTGTCCAAGCTTGTTTGAGCAATGTATGTAATTTACAGTACAACCAGCATGTTTGATTATTGATAGCCAGGAGTGTTTCCATTCTGATGGAAGAAGAAACACAAATTGTGTCTTCTAAATTATAAAGGTTTCGATCATTTATCTGAATTTAACCTACCGGCCAAAAATGGCCACATGCCCTTTATGGTCCGAAAGAAAATTTCTTCGTGATCTCTGATTTTATGTGTTTCTTGAACTAGCATGAAAAGCTGAAAGGGTTTAATTTATTTCTCTCCATAGCCGGTTAACAAAGGATGGTAGGACCATAAAATTCGAAATATTAATGGATTTTCCATGGGTAAAGCGGGTGAAACCAAATAAAAGGTGGCATCTACCCTTTCGAGGTAGTATTCAATAAATTTGTGATTCAAATATTAACATTTGTAATTTTTTTTTTTATTTTTAAGATGTGAATTTTTTTATATAAAAAAAGATGAATGTATAAAATTATGATTTATTTTTTACTGACAATGTTTAAAAATTAATACACAATCTAATCATGCAGTAGCTAGCAACAAAATCGTTCAACAAAAATTTCTTATTGCTTGCAAAATGTATTGATGGGATTAAGACAATGTAAGAGCCTCATTTAGCAAGCTTCTCCCTTAATTCCTTCAAACATCTCCCACATCCGAATTGATCAAAATATTTTTCCTCTTTTCAGCTTTTCTTACACTGCTCATTGTAATTTGCTTTGATTCTAATCATCATGCAAATCTTGTTATATTAAAGATGTGGATTTGACTTCACAACTCAAGTAACTCGTTAAAAAAGAGCATGAACAGACCTTGGTATACATATACATATAGATATATGTATATATATGTATATGTTATTTTACTATATTGATATTGAGGATTATTACGTGAGCATAAACGTTAAAGAAGATTTTAAGGGATGGATTTTCCTTAAAATCAAAATACTGCAGAGAGAGATTCGGACATGGAAACTGGAAAGTGAACTGAGCCATCGTGAAGGGTAATTCCGTGACTATAAGGAACTTACGAAGGTTCACCTTCTTAAGGTTAGGTCATATGATTGCCCGAACCCGAAAAAAGTGAGGTGGATTATCAGAAGTCTCTTCACTTCTCCTCTTGACACGTAGCACATCTCTCTCCGTCTGCATTTATCGCTTAAGGTTTCCAACTTCATCTTTGATCACCCTTTTATTCCCATTTTCCACCATTGGATCATTATCCAACGGTTAACTTTAAGTAAACGTACAAAATTATGACCCGAGATATAAAAACAAAGCAAAAGATTTTGGAATTTAGAATATAGAAGTAGTTGTATTTTTTTTTTTTGTTTTCTTTTATTTTCATAATTATTTTAGAATGGGTTTATTATATCATCCGAGATTCTAATGAAGTTCTTAGCTAAGACTATCTAAAAAAATGAGAGTATAAAGGGTTATTAAAGGTCAGAAAGAACAAAAACACAGCTACCCTTTTTCTTTGGTTTGGGGAAGCGATCAAGGGAAGAATTTTGGCTTTGGGGTTTGGTTGAGTTAGAGGAAAGGAAAGGAGTTAGGGAGAGATCAGGAAACAAATGGGGAGAGGTAGGGTTGAGTTGAAGAGGATTGAGAACAAGATCAACAGGCAAGTAACCTTTGCTAAGAGAAGGAATGGACTTTTGAAGAAAGCCTATGAGCTTTCCGTTCTTTGTGATGCGGAGATTGCTCTCATCATCTTCTCCAATAGAGGAAAGCTGTACGAGTTTTGCAGTAGTTCAAGGTATCACCAAAACAACTAAATCTTTTTCTGTAGCCTCTTTCAAAAGCAAAAAAAATAAAAAATGCTAATATTACAACACTTCAGAAAACACGAAGGATTTTTTTCTTCATAAAACAAAGCAAGTTCTCTCTTATCCTCTTTCTCTCTCTTTCTCTTTACTTCTTTTTTTCTCTCAAATATTTTAATTTCCTTCTTCTTTTTTCTTTGTTTCTCTCTTTTTGCTTGCTTTGAATTCTGACTTTAGATCTTGAGAGGTTCAAGAGGTGGATTTTTGCCATTTTAAGTGATTGGGTTCTGAGAAAAGAGTTAAAAAATAAAGTTGTGTTTCAGTTTTGCCGTTTTGGTGAATGTCTCGGCGTTTATAGCAGGGCCTGCGTTTCTTTTTTTTTTTTTCCTCTTCCTATTGATATTAGATCTGCAACTGAAACCCATAAAAAGAAGAGTACTGTTATATTGACTCTAATTTCATGTCTTTGTTCTTTTCTTTTCTTGTTGGTTTTCCCGAAGCCCTTTATTTCCTTTCCTATTTTCTGTTTTCTTCCCTTTCCGCTTAATCATCTGAGATTTTTTTCCCTTTTTTCTGCTTAAAATTTTTATCTATGATCTAAAGTTTTTCAAGTTTAACATGCAGTTTTCTTCTAAATTGGAGTAGCTCAGAGATCTGTTGCTTATTTGCTTTGGAGTTTAGGAATGAGTTTTTTTTTTTTTTGGGGTACTTTTGGCTTTTGTACTTTTATTTTTTCTTGCTTTTTCTCTCATTTAAGCTTTGATTAGATCCTTTTTCTTTCCATTTTTGTTCTTAATCACTATAGAAATCATGGTTATTAATTTCTCAGTTAAACAAATGAAAGTCTTCGAGATAAAAGTTCTTTTTAGACCTTGATCCACTCAGGTAATTAGTTTCTGTTCCTTGGATTGTAAATTTTGTGTTTGAGAAATTTGATTGAGAAAAGTAAAAACGATGTTGAAAACAAAACTGACAAAAAACCAATGGATCGTAGCATAAAAGTTCAATGCTCTCTTCTAATCGTTGCGGGCAATTTCAGTTGTTACTAATCAATCAAGCAGCGAAGACAAATAAGACATCTCACAGTGTCGTTTCTATTCTTCGGATGAGTCTTTTCTCTCAAACAAATCGAGCTCTCCTTCTTCCCAGAGGATCATGCATGTTACCCCTAGCTCTCTCTCTCTTTTGTATGCCTACTTCTCTCTCTTTCTGTGAATTATTTCAATCAGTTAAAAGTGGATTGAGACATCTCCATGAATGCGACTGAGTTCTAGGGTTTTGGTTTTCCCAAAGCTGCTTCCCCAGGTTAGGGTTTCAACTTCAATTCTTTAAGGTTAAACCCCTCTCTCTTACATAACACCCCAATTTCTCAAGATCAAAATTTTCGATTTGAGGGATCATAAACCTACCCTTTGATTTGGATTCTGGACCCTAAATATGTTTTTTTTTTTTTGGTTTAAAAAAGGGTTATTTACCTCTTATCACTAATTTCAATTAATAATTTGTATTGATTATGTTTTTTATAATATTATATTGCTTATGCAGTATAGATGTGCTAATTAATCTCTATTATATGTAATGTTCTGTAAGTTTCATAAAGCATAGTTTAACTTAGATGTCTTTTGAGAGTGATACATGGGATCGGGTTTTTTTTGTGAAAAATAATTGGAACGTAAAAAGGAATTTTATTACTACTAATTAAGGAACAAATTAAGTATAAATACACAACATTGTGGAAGGATTAAACCAAACTAATTTAATTATACTTAAAAAGATAAATAAAGACTCAATATTAGTTGAGATGGCATGCAAATTAGACAGATTTTTAAAAGTTATGGATTTGAAAAAATTTAGATGCCTAATGTTTTCTTTAAATGAATTAAATAAATAGAAGTTGGGATTAAAGGGTAGTTAAGAATTTCAAAATAAAAAATAATAATTAATTGATTGTTTTAATTTTTATAGCTTCTTTTAATACCATATATCAACTATCATTATGACATTCAGAGTTATAGATTGTTTTTTATCATTGATTTGATGAAGACATTAATGTCCTGCTTCCCTACTTACCAAGATTGAATAATTATATAACAATTAGTTTTGCAGTCTTTTTTTTTTTTTTTTTTTAGGAAGAGGAAAAGCAAATCAACTTGACAAATTCCAAATGATAGGCATTTCTCTTCTATAGCTTTGTCTTTTAATTGATATATTTTCCTCCCCCAATACCCTACCATAATGGCATTCTTTTTTAATCATAGCAAATTCTCTTTTAATTTAACTTTAGTTTTATATATTTTTTCTCATTTTAATTCCCTTGTGTTCCCTAAAAGCTTTTTAAAAGTCACTTTTTCCTAAACTGATTGAATTACTCAACAATTTTGTGCCCTACAAACGCAATATTATAGTCTGAAGTTGCAATGATTATGCTTTTCCTTAAGCATGGAATGGTGTAAAATTTCCTAAAAATTGTTTGGTATATATATTTTCCCTATTACATTGTTTTCCTTTATTCTTTTCCATGGATGCTTGTGATTTAATAACGAATTGTACTATTGTTTTTGGATTATTTTTTTCAACAGTTTGTTCCACTTTTCAATCACTCAACACAATACCAAGAAGATTGTGTTTAAAATGAGGTTTTGAATTAATTAAGTGTCAAAATAAGTCTTAAGAATATAACCTAAGATCCTTGATGGCATCTTGCATTGTGAAAGACCACTCAACTGATGATTATAATATCAATCACCAAAATGCAGATACATCATTGTTCATTGAATATTAATGTTGTCATTATGTTTATTAATGGCTTGTATCCTTTTAACTAAAATTTACCTTAATATGTAGCACTATCAAAACATTGGAGAGGTACCAGAAGTGCAACTATGGTGCTCCAGAGACTAATGTGTCAACTAGGGAGGCTCTGGTAATGCTAACCTCTGCAACTTATTTTTCCATACACTGCCTCCTTCTTGCTTTTTTGTTCTTCAGAGTTTAGACTGCTTCTTTTATGCCTTTGCTACAACTGAGTGCAGTTAAGATCCTTTCCCACTTTCCTTTTTACTGTTTGTGTTTGAATTATACCAAGTGATGGTACTTTTCCTACATTCATTGATAACAGTTTAAGCAAATAAAATAAATAACCATGGTTTATACCCTTATTCAACCACTAACTCTTTTTTCATGTTAAAATTTGGTAGAGAATGAAATAACCTCATATGTCCATGAGGATTTAGGCTTATTACCACTTCTAAAATTAAGTTGAATCCTACCAAAGGCTAGCATTTGTTAACTTCATGGTAATTCAAGCAGCACTGCATTGGCAATTGATTGATCGGTTCTTATTGGGCAATAATGCTGTTGAGCTATCTGTAAACAGATGCTATATTTCATCCTTAAAATACCATGTCTAGCTAGTAGGGGCATCAATATTTTATGTCCACTTTTTGTATAATAACTTCCATAAGTCCATAATAGCTGCAAAAGTAGTCGAAGCAGTGCTGTTTGATCCTGTGTTTATGTGTATATGTGTAGTTTATTAAAAAGTGGAATTTCATTAGAATAAGAAAATTATTTAAATGAAAAAAAGCGAAAGAAAATGTACAAGATATTTTATGCATTTTGCTTACATTTCTTCAACTTGATAATGATTGAAACAATACAAAGTAGTACATGGTAATTTGTCTGCGTCTGTCTATGCTTAAATTTACTGCAATATGTAGTTTGAAAAGAGAAACTGCAGAACTAAAGTTTAGTTCAGTTAATTCATGTAATCACTCCTAATAAATGGTATCCAACAAGTTTGAGGTTCAAATTCCAACATATGCAACTGGTGCATTCCATGAATGAATATAAAATTGGTGCTAAGCAATAATAAATTCAATACATGCAGATTATGAGTTAAAGCATGTTGAAATATTAGTCTAAACATAAAAATTACTGCAAAACATTGTGCAAAGTTAATTTTATGACAACTCAAGTTCAAATCTTTCGTATCTATGGCATATTGCATATCCCATCTATATATGCTGTAAATGTATTTTTCAATTTTCATGTTGTCTTCGTAGGAGTTAAGCAGTCAGCAGGAATACCTGAAGCTTAAAGCACGTTATGAAGCCCTACAAAGGTCCCAAAGGTGAGTCAGCAACCATTGAAATGAACCAAAACTCCTGGTAAATTTACGCTAAAACGTAGAGGGCCATGATTCGTTATTTTCCTTTATTTATTTTGATAGGAATTTACTAGGAGAAGATCTGGGCCCTCTAAACAGCAAAGAGCTTGAGTCGCTTGAGAAGCAGCTTGATTCATCATTGAAGCAGATCAGATCAACGCGGGTACTTTGACTCCACACTCCACTAATTAAATCGTCTTTACATATAACATCCTTACTGTTTTCTTAAGAAATGGAGAAACTGCATTCATGTATTAAAGCCATGCATCTTTTTATTCTGAAAACTTATTTGGGGAGTGGCCGGTCTCTACATATATGGAAAATGGGACACGAGCCAGGATTTTTTCGGAGTGTTCAATATATATATATATATATATAACTATGGACGGATTTACCAATTTTATAGAAGAAAAAGATGTTAAAGGAAAATTTTTTATGTCCAGAGAAAATATTTCTTCAAATTTTCCTATTTTTCAATCTTTGAGGGTGTCTATGAATACCCTAGCATATGGATCCGCCCGTGTCCCAATCCTTTCTTATGGTGCAAACAGATATGCTCCTTTGGGGAAATACGTAGGATGGAAGTTCTATTCTTGTTCATGTTCTTTTTGTTTCCTCTAGTTCATGTTTATAGTGAACGTTGGGTATCTCATTCCACTATTAATGTTCTGTTCTAGACCCAATACATGCTGGATCAGCTCGCTGATCTCCAACGGAAGGTATGCGTTTATATCTATTTTAAATTTCAAACTCAGTTGGTTTTCTCTCTCACCCCAATGCAATATTTTTCGTTCTCTTTAATGCAGGAACATCTACTAAATGAAGCCAATAAGACCCTAAAACAAAGGGTAGGTTACTTTTACAACTTTGCCAATCTTAAAGTTTCTAAAATCATGACATACTCCAATTCTTGTTCGCATGATCCTCGATCCTTTTGGCTTACCAAACTTCACTTACTAACTCAACTTCATTTATTGAGACATCAATGTCAAAAAGAGACCATATTCAGTGACTTGTGGACCGGCGTTTTTGCAGTTGATGGAAGGCTACCAAGTAAATTCGCTCCAGTTGAATCCAAATCCTGAAGATGTCGGCTATGGCCGACAACCAACCCATCAGCCTCAGGATGATGGCTTCTTTCATCCATTGGAATGCGAGCCAACATTGCAAATTGGGTACGGCCTTCTGAATTTACAAAAAAAAATCAGTCTTTGTCTACGAACTCAGAATTTTTGTTTCCATGAAACTAACAAATCATTGCAGATAAAACTACAATCCATCTTACTTGCCGTGTTGATATGTTGAATTACAGATATCAGCATGATCCAATATCAGTTGTCACCGTGAGCCCGAGTATGAATAATTATATGACAGGATGGCTACCATGAAATATGAATAAGATGAACGCATGGAGCAAATCATGCATGGTTTGCATTCCCTCATAACAATGATCAGCACATTTTATTATCTGTTTGTATGTTATTTGATGAAACAACTTATGTGTAATGGCAAGGATTTAATATTATAACTTGTCTAATTAGGATGCAGTACTGTAAGTAACACCTGTGTGAGCGCTCGAGCACTGCGCATCTTTCATTGGGCAGTTTAATTTGTTCGAAATAATTGCTGTTTGTGCTTGTAAAGAGGATTCAACCTCTGTGCATCTGCTTATTCTGGTTTTGCATCAACAAACACATGCGACCACTTTGGAGTGAGGACACACGCTTTAATTAGTCCCCTTTTCTATGAATATATATACATTGAAACCTTATGAAATTTTATAGAATCTGATCTAGGAATATAATATATATTTGAATAAAAAGCACATGTAGTCCTTAAATTTTGAGTCAAATATTGTTTAAAATGGAGATCAATAAATTATTTTTTGAAAGTTAGGGATTAAAATGACATTACGTTCCAAATTTAAGGATACTCTATAAATTTTAATTTTTAATTCTTATTTTAAGCTAAGATCTTTTTAAATAAATCAAAATGTAATGTGTTTTGTAATATCAATATGCTTGGATCGCACTTTTCATAAATACAACAATATTATCATTATAAACACCTGAATGTGAATTCATATATATTAATGTTGATATAACAAGACTGAACGTTACAATTAAAATGATAAGTAAGATTTGTTTAATAATTTTTTGTTATAAAGCTCTATCACCTGCAATTTTAGATGTCGGGTGAACTTGGAAATCCTGCAGAAAGTTGCGATGTAAAGGGGAAAAGATCCAAAATAAGGTTTAGATAAGGCCCAAGATATTGCTGTCCCAGTCCCTTTGAGACCAAAATTCAGAAGCAAAGCCCATACAGGCCAGCATAGGCAGGGCCTCATGCACCCCACCCCAGCCCCCCCCCCCCCTCCAAAAAAAAAAATTACAAATCCTTTAATGCGATGCTAGGGATAGTAAAAAAGAGCTACTTAAACATTTGTTTCATTAATGAGCTAGTTATAATAGTTTAAAAATAGGCGGTTTATAAAATTAAATGAATAATTGTTGATAATAAATTTTTAACTTTTTTAATTTTTAAAATTTTCATAATTTATTATTCATAGAAAAATAGAAACTTGCTCTAGCATTTATCACTATTTCATTCGATAGCATGATATACCTTTTTATAAGAGTGGATGTTGAAAAAAAATTGCATAAGTAATTGTTTCTAGTACTATTTAATCTTTTAATATATATTATGATTATTTTATATATTTAAATTTAATTTAATTAGCAATCACATTAAAATTATTAATTGTTAATTTTATTTTTAATTTAAATTTAACAATTGTAATTTATAAAAAATTAAAATTACATTATTCTTTATCTATTTATTATATTCATAATCATTATTCACGAAATTCTTAAAAATAATAGATTTATAATAAATATTAAGTCACATTCTTATAAACTTAAAAAATCTCTAATTTTTTCAATAAAATTATAACTTTTCAACCAAATATCAAAAGCATATTTTTTTAACCAATACTTATTTTCTCGTATCTTTGTAATTTTTTTTATAAAACTTTATAGTTTTTTTATAAAACTTTAAATAAATTATGTTAATTCATTGAAATTTCATTTTTTTTAAGTATTTGTATTCGAACATATGTAATAAACATAAATATAGAGATTGAATAATCTAAAATTAAAAAATTAAAAAAATTAATATATTTTTATTAAACATATATTATTTATGATTTAACTCTCGAATTTGAATAATATAATAAATAAAAAAATATAATTTTAATTAACTTCCTAAAAAACAAATGTCAAAATCCGTCATTATTGGCCTGTTCTGCAAATTTTAGGTGGGAAACACTGAGCCAATTAAGTGTTTGGTTGGAGGGCAAAAGCCGAGCCCAAGGTTTGTTGAAACCGCAGTTGCAGTTGGGGGTGACGAAGACAAGTCATGTAAATGTTGAAGGTCCTTCCCTAGCTCTGTAGACCCCCCAGTAAATGTTGGCAATTAAAGCCTAATCCTGCAGTGCCGCTCGGAAAGTCAGATTCCCAATCCCCCACCACCGCCAGGATCAAACATGGGGTGAGATGGCTTGTGAGGTCAGAAATTGGCTCCGGTCTTTCGGATGTGGACCATGTTTCACAAGACTAACGTCGTGCAAGGCGTTGGGTCTAGGACTTCCAAGGCTAGCTAACTAGTAGCCATTCTAGATTTTGGCACACTCGTGGATTTGTTCTTTTCTTTATTATTCAAGCACGTGAGACAAATGAAATAAATACTATATCTATTAAAATTTATTTTTTCCCGTCAAATAGCTATTTTATTATATTTATAATTTAATTAAATTAATTCATATTATTATTTTTAAAAAATAATATTTTATAAATTTAAAATTTAACATTTACAATTATTTTTTTATTCTTAAACTGCAATTTATTTATACTATTATCATATTCATTGTTTACGTTAATAATTAAATAAGTAATAACATTATTAATTGCATCTAAATGATAATTCAACAATTTGATTGTATTAAATAAACAAAATGGTAGTTTTTTGTCTGAATGTAAACGTAAAACGAAAAGAAGAATTGACTGTTTAAAACTTTTTTATTCAAAGTACTGACAAACTGGTTGATTTTACATGTTAATTGGTTTCCTACTTGCTATAGAAATTGGTTTCCCATTTCGTGTTTAAAATTGACTACAGGAAGACTTCATTTGATTGATTAAGTAACATAATTATACTGCCCATAAAGTGAATCTTTGTGAAAAACAAAGGTCAGATTCTGTAATCAATGAATAATGTTAGATTTGATTTCTGTTAAGATCTTGGGAAGTGAACTTTTATCCCATACACTCGGTTCTACTTCTTCAATGTCACCCCAAAGAAAAATGTCTGTTTCTGCTAAGATCAAGTGTCATCATAGAGTTGATTCTGCTTTCAACCTTGATTGCCTAAGAAGAAATCGAAATTCAATTTAATATTTAAAAAAAGAAAAGAAAAGAAAATGATGAGAAACTTTAACATCTTTATTCCAGTCTGTGCATATTGTAATGAAAGGATAGGAAATCATTTGGAGAAGTGCAAATACAATCCTCAATTATAGCCCCTATATATATTTACTACATTAATTTCAACAACTATATATAGGTAGGTAAAATAAATACACCGCTAACAACAAAGTAAAAAAGAAATTAAAGTAATCATCAATTTACCAATGATTTAAAGTAGAGAAGGAAACTTAATATGATGGAAATAAGCACTCGCACATGTTGAAATGGTTTCGGAGCCACTAAATGAATTTGAAATAAAAAAATGAAGTCGTTATCAATTTTTTTTATTAGGGTTCAAGAGTTGATTATGTATGTAAAAGAATTAGTACTCTTATAGCATTCGTTTTAAAATAGTACAAATTAATCATATATTATCTTTTGATTTTAATTAAAATGGGTCTTAATTTTGATATTTAAAATTTAATTTTCTTTAAAAACATATATTTTTTAGTATGCTTGAAAAATAAATAAGAATCTTACATATGGAAAAATTTCTTAAAATATTTCAATACTCTAAAAATATTAAAAAGAATCATCTCACCTAAAGAATCTTTAAGAATCATTACTCGAAATTCTTAAAAATCCTATCATCAGTGGTTTATATTTATTTTTAGTATTTATATTTAAAAAAAATAAAATATAATATATATAATTTTAAAACAAATAGTATTTTCTAAAATTTATTTTTATGCCATTTATAAAAAAAAAGGAGAAATCTTTCTAAAAATTTAGTCCAAATACTCTAAAGATTCTTAAAGAATCACTACTCGAATTTTTTTTAGGATTTCATCATCGGAGATTTTTTTTTTGTTTTAATGTTTAAAAATCATGTAAAAATATTATCATCCATAAATTTATTTTAAAAAAGTATATTTTTATCTAAAAGGCTTCTCAAATTAAAGAAAATAATAACAACATACAGGTTTTTTGTATTAAAAAGAAACTTCTAAATATTTCAATATTTTGATAATTTTTAGAAGACTTTTCTCACTTAAAAAATTTTCGAGAATCACTACTCGAACTTTTTGGAGTCCTATTATCGAAAATTTCATTTGCATTTAAAATTATATAATGCAAACAATAAAGTAGAATATGCACAAAAAAATATATATTACTTATTATTATGTTATACATTTTGTTATTTGTTTTAATTTTGTTCTAATTTTATTTAATTACTTTACAATTATCATTAAAATTTTTGAAAGGAACAAAGTAAATAAAATTTTTTATTGAAAATTTTCCTAGATACCTTAATACTTGGTGATATTTTAGAAGAATTTTTTCACCTAAAGTTTTATTAGGAATCTGTACTTGGACTTCTTTAGAATCCTATCATTGAAAATTTCATTCATTTTTTACTTAATTATTATTCTAATTCAAATCTTTAGTTTTGATTAAAATTTGTAATAAATAAAATTAATTGATCATAATATTAATCATCATATATTATTTTCAATGTATAATAATATTAGAAAAATAGATATACAAAATATTTTCATATTAAATATTTTTTTTAAATACTCATTACTTTGGTATTATTTCTAGAAAAATATCTTCACTTAGAGATTTTAATGAATCGCTATTCGAAATTCTTTAATATCTCATCATTGGATAAAAAGTTTCCTTTATCCTTATCATTTTTATTTTTATTGTTAATGATCTTTCTTTTATATTCTTTTATTATTATTATCTAAATATTGATTATTGTAAAGTATCCAAAACATTATTTTTATCAACCATGTGTTTATTTCTTTAATAAACTTTATTCCTCAATTCTAACACCAAACAAGCAAGCAAGCAGTGTAATCCCCACCTATCAAGACAAAGTTTTAGTTCATCTATCTATAGCTTATTTTTCTTTTTAATAGTACTTTCATGCTTCAATCTTAAAGAAAAGCAAGCCAACCATAGTCCTCACCCATTTTAAACAAAGCTCTATTTTCTTCTTTATATGGCTTTTTTTTTCATGCTTTAATCTTAAAAAAAAAAAAAAAACCAACTATGTAGTCCCCACCCTAGACCTATTAACATGCAACAAAACACACCAATGGCTATTTTACAAAAAGGCTCCATAAAGCAATGAAAGCTTAAACCAACAAATTTTAAAAGAAAACCAATAAATATTTAAAATCTTTGAACCTTTTTTTCATACCACAAACAAACGATGCCTATATAGCAAACCATTAAATGTA